TTCATCTATATAACTCCATACATACAAATTCTTTGAATATCGACATATTTAAACATCACCGCTTATACCTATACAAAATGCATACATCTATATTCATACTTTAAATATACTTTTATACGTGGAATTTTATACGTTAAACAAACAATATTCTATGTATAACTTCATCTTTACCTATCTATTCATGCACAACATAACTATATCCATATTATTGTACATATACCTTAAACAACATTGGAGCTCAATACACATTCACTCACATATATATGTAACTTTACAAAACACTTTACAGAATAAAATTTAAATTTATCATTTTGAAATCAATAAACTATTTTATAAAAATATGAAATTTCCGAATGAAAACTAACTCAATTCTTACTGCTTTACTATCTTAAACTAGACTCTGTAAATTTATTGATCATCACGAATTTTAGTTCCTAAATTGATTCCTCAAACCTATGTAGAAAATCCTAATCCGGACTCAATTTCGCTTGAATTTAAATTTTATTTAATCCAACCACTATTAGTCTAATTTCACTCATCAATTTGTTCTCAATTTAATTCTCCCGTAAGATTACTTTCCTAAACCTTTTTAGAACTTGCCTACAACATTTCTTTTTCCAAAAGTTCCAAAATCCAAATTTTTATTTACTATTTTTTTTACATATATTCATATATATAGATATATCTATATATATATACACATGTACACTTATATTTATATATGTGTATATATATATACATAACTACACGTACATGAGCACTGTATATATATGTACAATATGTGCCCATACCCGCTGTATTTATCTACATCTATACCAACACGCATATATATATATATATATATATGTATTTTGTGCATATACACATATTTACAAATGCACAAATATATATGGACACAAATACATAAAAACTGCACATTTATTTTTATATATATAAGACGCACACACATACCTAATGTATACATATATATAACTACACAACCCATATATATATATACTGCATATATACTTATCTACAAATACACATATATATATATATAATGCGTAAACATTTGCTGTATATATAGGTTTATGCACCAACACCTATATATATATATTTATATATGTTGCATATATGCATATCTATAACTGCACATCCATATATCTATATATACACATATACAAATATACATATATAAACACAAAACAAGGGATCTAGTGGTTAGCACTATGCCGATCTTACCTCCTAACGCCATTTTCGACCATTTTTAATTACCTCACTATAGATTAGCTAGGAAAACATCAACTCGAGAGGAAGAGGTGCGAACACCACGACCTGCGGCTACTTGGGACAGCGTGGTTGGCTTCTAACTCCGGTAAGAATAATTAAATCCTTCCTATGTGATGGCTAAATTGAAGTCTTAACCCAATAAAATCAATATAATCGTATATTGTTGCTTATTAATCTGATTATAGGTTACCAATGGAGCAAAACGTTGATTTCTTGTTTTTCATTATTTTATTTTATTTTATATAATTTTATTTTACTATGATATTTTATATATTTTATTTCGTTTGAATCAATCTCATTTTATTTCATTCTACATTATTTTGAATTATTTATCTCCTCATGTTGTATTTTATGGTAATTTATTATTATTGTATTTGTTTTATCATATTTTGTAACAACCAAATTATTATTTTTATTTTCATATTTGCATTTTAGTTTAATTTTTTATATATTTAATTTATAAGATTTTAATTTAATTTAATGAAAATAAAAATAATAATAATGATAAAATAGAGTAAAATTATTTTTTGAATTTAATTGAAATTGATTTTGGAAAAAAGGGATGAAAATTTAGATTATGGTGGTATTTTTAAAAAGAAAATTAGAAACCGGGGGTCAAATACAATTTGAAAAAATTGTGCCACGTCAGCAGCCCAGTCAGCAACCCCGGCCAACCAGGA